TATAAAAGCCTACACTTAACATAAAAGCTCTTATGGGTATTGAATTATTGCTGAACTAAATTAGATAAATGCACGGTATAATCATGTAGAATAATGATGACATTTCGAAATTATCTTCGGGCTATCTTATTGGGTCAAGCCTTGGATATTTTCAAAGAGTAAATGAAATGATGAAAAAATGAAAAGCTATTGTTTCAGTGTTTTTGATATGATCAATATTTTCTGGTGGAGTAAACAAATTTAGTTTGAAATGAACAAATCAAATGAGTGGGAAATTTCTCTTTCATTAAATCCTATTTTCATTGCTCTTTCATTATATTATGTTTTCATTTATGAAAATTAGATCAACATGCATAGCCGTGGTAATTACCTTCTAGTTTGAACAGTGTAGCATGGAGACTATCATTTTAAGCTGCGATAAAATTCAATTGAAGTAGAGTATCCCATACCAGGCCCAGAATTCAAATTCCATTGTCATTTTGTTCGGCTCCCGTATATCATCGTAAAATCCTTAAGTACTTTAGCACATTTTCGGGTTCGGGTAGACTATATTACTTCTTCATTAAAATTTTGTCTCTAGAGTATGGGCACTCGACGTACGGGATTCACAAACCTTGGCGGTGGATCATCAGCTGCTCGAGGAAGTGCAGGAGTTCTGAAAGACCGTGCTAACATGTCATTTATGCTCGTTGTCATGTTCTTTGCGGTATTCGGTCTTATCGTGCTGACGGAAATATTTCTTATTGATGAGAGACGAACAAACGGAGGTGTAGGTGCACTTGGTGGACACAGAAATGGTCACCGGGTGCCAGGACCAGATCGTCCTGACTATGAGGAAGTTGTGGTAATTCACTCACAGATCGGTGAAAAGTGATGAAAGCCTGTGCAATATATGCCGGTCTTTTTTTCCATTTCTCAGTGAAAAAAAATTACAAAATTCACACGAAATGCATCAAAAGACTGGTTTCAACAAATATTTGCAGATTAATCCGCATATCAGTCTTTCAATCACTTTCTCACTTCATCGGATTACTGAAGAATTTTTCAATTAGATTGAAATATTTCGACAAAATTTTATAGGCTGAGGATTATGTGGGATTGAGGGGCGGATTTGATGCACAAGTGGGGCTTCTTATTCATGGAGATTCGGATGCAAAAGTTCCAGCAATTCCTTCAGACCCCAGGGGCTTATCAAGCTTACCACCAAGTATGGAAGTGCGACTGCCAACTCTTGATCAAACCCTCAAGATGACTCACGCTGAATGGCTTCCAATAACCAACACCAGGTAAAACAATATTATGACTACTTTTGAAATTCACATTCGAAATTTATTAAAGAATTTTACTCACATTTCTATAAGTTAATAGTTAATTCGTGGCTTCAATTTCAATTCGAATTTTTCAATTTTATCGATTTGATAGAGAGTCTTGGATGATAATATCTCTAATTTCAGGTGTCATGTTTTGAAAAATAGGAATTCTGTTAAAATAAAAAAGTAAAATCCATAATAATCTTTGTTATTTTTACAAATATTAATTTTCGTATAAAAACTCATTGAATAAGTTAAAAAACAGTTGTTAAATGGTTAAACAGCTGGATTGTAAATATGGAATTTTTATGTTGATTGAAATGTATTCTCACTTATGATCCAAAATAGAGAATAGTTTAATACTAAATATTTCATCAATAATAAACTGACGAGATAATCACATAAAAATGAGCTTGCGCGGCCAATTGCAAAAAATTACAATGTAGATACAATTATTCTTGTTGATATTCCAGATATAAATTTTTCGTATACTCTGCCTACTTTGACGATCGCAACGGAGGCAATCCGAGTTCAAAGCACATCCCGAAGTCTCCAAAGTCTCCAGGTTCAATCCGAATAATCGGTGCAACTAAAACTCGGTCACCAGAGCACGTCTGGTGTCGTCTTTGGTACAAACGACCTGCAAATACTTCAAACATAACTTTATCAGTGACAGTTGCGGCAAAAGTCAAAGTGATACGTGAGAATTGGAACTTGAAGTACAGTGCTTGTTTCGTTATTTGTCCGCTACCAAAAGAGATACCAATTGGTGTAGATACAGATAAGCCAATTCCGGAGGCAGTGAGCATTGTTGCGAGACTCAGAGCTTCACCGACTAATCGAATACTCGTCCTAAATCGACCAGAAGATAGACCCATTGATCGTGAACCATTGGGGGTGTGTGTTAAGCCACTCCATTACGATTACAATAGAGTTCTGCAATTAGTCGAGTTTATCGAGCTTCACAGACTTCTTGGGGCCTCCCACGTCACCTTATACAATGACACTGTCGGTACTGAGGCTGGATGTGCTCTTAAATACTACGAGAACTTGGGAATCGTCAATATTTTACCCTGGCATCATCTTGATATGATCTCGCAGAGGGAAATACGCACTGAGAATCTCTTTGCTGCTCTTAATGACTGTTTATATCGATCCATGTACAAGTATGAGTTCGTCGCACTTTTGGATCTTGATGAATTTATTATCCCAAGGCATAACGACACCATTATGGATCTTCTAAGGTACATGCAATTCTTTGAATTTCAGTACGTAATAAGAGAAATGGAAAACATTGTCTGTGAGATCAGAACAGTAAAATATTAGTCCTCTATCTCTCATTAAAGTATTTATTTTTAGTAAATAATGTGAGCAAAATACCGTCAGTGACCCAGATACTGGAATTAATTCATTTAATCATTAGAAACAGTGAACGCATTTTTTTAATGACAACAAACCTCTCGAATAGCCTATCGGATCTTGGTTTACGTCCTGAAGTGAAGAAGTGATTTTTCAAGGCATTTTTAAAGTTCAAGTCCATTTCCGA